ATTTTCCGTATTTTCATGAAATCATACGATATTTTTCAACCTCCATTTTTTCTATAGACAAAAAAAAAATATATTTATACGTCGAAAATTTTAAATTCAAGATTGAAAATTTGGTGCGGAGCATTTCTCAATAATATCCGCGAAAAATATTCGTAATTTTATTTCTTATTATATAGAATTAGTAATATAAAAGATAAATAATCATAAATAGAGAGAATATCTATTAAAAAAGATATACGATTATATCTTCATATTTCCGCATATTCCCTCCCCTCCCCCCCCCCTCAAGACCGTCCGAGAAACCATATTTCACCCAATTCAGAGAGATATAAACTATCAAGAAAACTATATTTCTTATCAAGAAAATTAAATTTCAATAGCACCTTATTAGAAAACTATATAACAAATAAATTCTTCTAGAAAATAGCTAGAAATCAAATATAATAATAGTTTTTCGGCAGACTATTACGACTCTTCTAATTTTTTTTGTTTTTCCTTATAATTCTTCTTTTTTAAGTGATTTCTCTCAAAAAAAAGAAGAACATTTTCCTAAGTATAGTATCGATTCGCCAAAAACACCGTTTGAATTCTTCATAATATTATTCAAAAAATATTTTGAAAGGCATTTATATGAGATCATTCAGAGGCAATCTAGCTAGAATGAGGGACCTCCTTTCTTTGACGGTTTCAATCAATTTTCGTAGGTGGCTCCGAAAGAGCCTATGAAAAATAATCTATTTCAACGCAATCTAATTGGAATTGAGCAGGCTTTTTAGTTTTTGCGAGGTTTTTAAGAAGATATTTGTATATGATTAGCGATTGTCTGCAGTTGTTATAAAGTAATCTATCGACTCTAAGAAATTCTATCATAATGATATATTTTATAATATAGCGCTGCGGCGAGCAACCAGGTCACCAAAGTTGAGAAGAGGCAGATTCGTGACTACATGTTTGTTTCAAACTGTGGATCTTGTTCAACTTGTTGATTTTCACATCTGACTGTAGATGATTTTAGCTTGGCTTGGCCCTCGCTTCTCCAAGTCCCCAAAGCTATTGGTGTCACGGGTCTCGGAAGGCGACTGCAGCGGAACGAGATTGCTCAGTTCCCCTGCGGATTGGGGCAGCGAACCTTGCAAAAGCTCAGTAGAGTGCACTCAGCGCACACGCTCCTTTGCCTTGTCCCCATTGTACTTCTGGAGGCAGTGCAGCAGAATCAGTTCCTCAGTGCAACAGCAACGCATGCCAGTCAAATGTCATCCTACCTCCCTTGCCACTAGTACTACGCAGACCATAGGTCAAGTAAGAACTATACCACGCCAGTCCTATGAAACCTTGCCATGCGTGGCAAGTAGCTTCTATGGGGCACTGGTTGATGAAGGCAGGCTGGCCACCTGCCAGAGCTCAATGCCAAGAGATCATGCCCAATTTGCAGACATACACTTTCGCTCTCTTTCGCTCAGCATCAGGCTCATCGATCACAGCCCATGCCTTCGCCTCTGTCCAGCATTGCTTTCCAACTTCGCTCCTTCGCTGGTTTTGGCGCAAGGTTGAGGCAGGTATAGCCAGGTTGAAGCACCCGCAGCGCTGCCCCTGTACTAAAAAGTGCACTTTGTCCATATAATGATCTGCAACTGAACGAAGATCACCGCATCGGCTCATCTCGGCCAGCAGGGCCTGAACACTCTGCAATTGCAAGACTCATTCAGGGCAGTCCTGTGCTTTTGAGCTTCAGGCTTCGTATTTTGATCGCGGCCATATGCGCAAGCGATCTGCCCGAACTGCAAAAATGTCCTGAGATAGCATCACGGCGGGCACAGGCCCACCAGGGAACGTGTCAGCAATTGTGCTACTGATTGCTAATTGTCGAAAAGCTCGTGTGCCAAGCTTCGTTGAAGAGGACGCCGGCACAGGTTGGCCTTGACAAGGTCGCGGCCAGCTTAAACAGTGGCTTTGCATCCACTCCGATCGAATGGGAGCATGTCTTCCGTTTGTGTATGGCGCCTTTTCAGATCCTGGTCCACGAAGCGCTGATACCAAGTACCTGCTGGAATCCATGCTGTCCCTTGAAGGTAAGGCATGGTAGGACCGGCTGTAACCCATTTTGAGGAAGCACCACACCCTTACATAGGAACAAATCTGGAACCTAGACTTTTCGTGGCTTCACAGGAGGCTGCATCAGATTCATCAACAAGTGGCAACTTAGCTTGTGCAGATTTCTGTGCTTTCATGCGTTCTAGCACTTGTTTTCTAATGATGCTTTCCACAACCCTGGTCGCACCAAGCGGTCTCACCGAAGCATTGCAAAGACGGATGACTCCCCATTTTTGGGAGTCATACGTCCTGAGTTTGGTGGTTGTCTCAACATGTAATGGGTGGATGACGGACTCCCTATAAAGAATCTCAGTAAATGAGTATCCTCAGCGAGAAGCTCGATGTCAAATGCAGGGTTGAAAGGATTGAACTCTCCTGACATGAGTCAATTTGAGATAGTGAAAGCAATTTGTCCCTGAAAGAAGCAGAAGCTGCAGCAGCCTGGGAAGGTGTGAGCCATGGTGGAAAACTGGCCAAACCTCTCGCCTCAGCATGTTCCGCACAAAGGATGCCACGGGAGGGACACTTGTGAAATCTTAGCCAAGAGCGCTGGCTTGGCTGCAGCTGCGACAGGACGTAGTTCAGCTTCCTACTTGTGAAAGATGCTGCAAGCAGCAGGGGCGAAGGGGAGGGGCCTGTGCGTGCGCCCTGGGGCGGGTAGACAATTTCCCGAATGCGCAGCAGAAGGGTTCTCGTTGTGACGTTGCTGGTCTGGGGGTTGGGAGTTGACGCGAAATCCGTGCGGAGCGTTCGCGTGTGTCCACAAGCGTTCGCCGTGTGTCCGCAAGCGTTCGCGCCAAAAATCGTCGCGAAACGCAGAATTGTCGTCACTTTTGGACCTTCGGTTGGTCTTCGCGTCTGAAAAATGTTAACAGTCACAGGAATCCGGGGGGGTCCTGGCCGCGAAACGAAGAACTGTGTTCGCTTTTGGACTCGCGTTGGGTCTTCGCGTTTCAAAAGACAGGCACAGGGATCAGGGGGTCCTGGTCGCGAAACGTTGGACTGTTGTCACTTTTGGACTCGCGTTGGGTCTTCGCGTCTCAAAAGTGTCAACAGTCACAGGGATCGGGGGGGTCCTGGTCGCGAAACGCAGAACTGTCGTCACTTTTGGAATCGCGCTGGGTCTTCGCGTCTCAAAAGTGTCAACA